CCAATCAAATTCGTGAATTCGGTAGTTCCCAGTCCTTGTGAGACGCAGCCATATAATAAGGCTGCTTATTACATGGCCAGCTCCGTGAGCGGGCAAGATGAATCAAATCCTGCGCTGTGATTGGCTGCCTGAGCGGGCAAGATGGAGCTATCTTGCCCGCTCGGGACTACCCGCCGTGTCCCGCAAGAAAAATTTCCCCGAAAGCCATATAATAAATCCTTTACTGACCAAGCTTGTTCGGCCAAGATGGCTGGATATTGGCCTCGTTCTTTTTTCGCGAGTTTATGGACCTCGACTCCGTCTTGTTCCATAAACACGCAAAATAAGAACTCGGCCAATATCCAGCCATCTTGACCTCACACTTGGTCAATAACCCATATATAATGACCGCTCAGATTTCGCTCTTAGCCGATCAGAGCGCGCGTTATATCGGCCACAAGCCACATAATAAAACGAAATAATGGAATAAAGCATTTTCGTATCTCGGTATTGGACTGGAACTACCTTGCAACTGAGGCTAATTAATGCAGTGAGTCTTTCAATCGCAAATGGCATTCATCTTTTTTTAGTGATATTCCCCCGCGTGAGTCTTCACTACAGGATTGTTCCAGTCTAATACCGAAAATACGAATAATTGCCTATTATGGATTTGGCAGATGCGGCGTTGTTGATTCACAATTAGCTGCATCATAAATTATTTTATTGGTCACGGTAACTCATTTACTTTGGCAGGGACAACATAACAGTAAAGRACGAAACAATCATTCCAGCAATCTGAAAAATAAGAAATGAGCTGCAGATGATTTAAAAATTAACCAAGGGAATGTCTCCAATTTCTTTGTGATAATGGAGAAGGGAACATAACAATAAAAGATAAATGCTAGACTAGAAAGATTGCTCAAATTAACGTTAATTTCACAAACAACACTTTCTTTAATAAATACTTTCTTTAATAAAGTGCATAGATCTCCCTGTCAACAACATCAATCCGTTTCACCATGGAGATCGAGAACAACAACAAGATCGCCTTTCTCGACACGTCAGTTTAC